ATGGGTTAAACACGGCTGCTAATTCCTTCAATGAATACAGTGGAGACTCAGTCGCACACACAGAAGAGTTCAAAGGTTACGCCAAAGATGTCAATGTTGCTACGGATAACTTCACCAATTACGGCTCCAGCGCCACAGGTGGCTCCGGGGATTTCACATCCTACGACGGACGAGTTAACGGATTTCAAATTAATTACTATATAACTAAGCCTAACCTGCTCAGCCAAGTCCATATACTCTATGGTTAGCAGCCTTGCACAGAAGCACGAAACAGCATTATAGTGAACAACGGCAGCACATGAAGAAGGCAACACGTCACACAAATGAGTGAGTGCCCTTGCAGCTAGAAGCATTATATCCGGATTGCTTTCATGATTAAGCAATCCCACAAGCACAAGAACAAAGGAATCCACAGAGAAGGTGCTTAGTGAGTCCTCAGTCCCAATTGAGAGCATTTCACAGAGCTGCGTTAACGCCTCCTTTTGCCTACCTTCCTCTCCTTCTGCACGCAATCCAGTCAGAATCTTCTTCAACCTACCACTCTGGTGTGAAGAGGATGCAGACCCAATTCCCAAGGACGGCAAGAAATCATCCAGTCCAACACCCAGCTTCCTTAACAGCCCTTGAAGGGTGCTGCTAGCTGACGGCAAATTCCCTCCACCACCCTCACTGTCATTATCATCGTCATCACCAGATGCATCCAAATTCAATCCCAAACCACGCTCGAGATGATTATTACTGTTGGCGTGATCTCTCTCTCTCTCTCGAATCCTGAGATCGTGTTCCTTTTCCTTACCCTTATCAGAGGGCGGATTAGGATTATCACTCGTACTCTGATTCTGATTATTTTTGTTGGAACGACGATCACGGCGAGAGCTGAAGAAGGATTCATTATTGGTCAGGTCCATTGCAGTAGAGGGGTGATGAACGGAATGTTAAATGTTAACGGAAATGTTAAGAGAAGGGCTGATTTGCCACTGCAGGGGAGTTGAGGGGCTGATTTGCGCGTGAAATGGGTTGAGGGGGTGATTTGCCACCAGTTGTTGAGTTCAGGGGCTGATCTGCACCTTTTGCCTTTCTGAAGGTTCCCAATCTGTTTCTTCCAGTCTCTCTCTTTTTTCCTTTTTAACGGAAGTAATAGTATATATTAATAAATATTTAAAATTCATTAGCCTATTAATCTAAGTAAAAAGAATTCGATTCTTTTTAAATAATATTTTGAGTTTTAAAAAATAGACAATAAGAAAGCTTCCCTTGGTGGGTTTAAAGTTGTCAATATCGTATTGGCATGCATACCGATTTTATTACTGAAACAGTATGTATTAGATATCGAAACTTTTAGTATACCGTTTCAGATTTATCGCTATAAATATATATTTTTATAAATTAAACATCAAATTTTAAAATAAAATAAAAGATACTAATATGTAAAATCATCGTATTCCTATAAATTAAAAATAAGTTTAAAATGACAATTTTTAATTCCTCAACTTCTAATGTATGTACATTTTTTGTTCATCCACTTTAAGTTAATGGACTAAAAATGTGTATATTTAGACGAGCTTAATGGAGTAATTGATAGAAGAACTAAAAAAAAATATTTTTCATAGTTAATAAACTAAAAAAATACATAAAAAAGTTTACAGATGAAAAGTATGTAGAATATTAAAGTTGAGGATCAAAAATGAAATTTATCCTTTTAAAATTTGAATTGAGCGATCCGGTTAATTTTCGTGTACCAGCTGTTATGCCAAAATACCCCGTTGCTACATCAAAATACTAGTTGGTACACCAAAATTTGACCAAAAAAAAGATAAAATTTGATTGAAATGAAATTGGATCATATACCGTTTCAGTTTAATGTAAAAGTCGATATGTATTGATTATACTGACCGATACGGTACAATAATGATAACTATGGTTTAAAGTATAAATCCAAAATTCAATATGACCTTAAATTAAAAGATCAAACCACCTTATTTGCATCATGCACATTATTAT